GAAGCTCTAATAATTGTATCATTAATTGAATTAAATAATAATATTGATATATCTTAATTTCCTTAAGATATTTTAATTTAATTTTATTTTAAATTAAAGTTAATATATTTTTTTTTTTTCTTGTTGAACAGTATCAATTTTCGTTGTTCGCAGATTTTCGTAGAAAACGAATAGCTAGGAAATTGGATCAAAGCAGTTACAAATATTAGATCCTTCTCGCAACCACCAAACTTCTCCACGCTCGTTACCCTCTCTTCCGCTTATTTTCGCCACGCGATCCCTCTGTTTTTACGATTGGCCTCGTTCAAAGAGGCAGAAACACGATTCAGACCGCGAAGTTACTTTTTCCCCCGTCAGTTAATCGGTTTATGTTGCATCGAATAATTAATTCTCTGGCCCCCCCGTTAATGAGCAGCAAGCCAGGCTTTTTCGGCTCGTGTCGCCCGGATAATTGAAGCGGCTGATCCCATTTGCTAGCATTAAACGGACGACGCGTCCCCTCGAATTATCCCGGCAAGTGTGTTGCTGACTGGTAATTACTTGCTCGCAATTAGCGAAACAAATAACCGCGTCGCGGGCCTACGGACACATTTTTCCGATTACCGTGCTGCATTGCTCGAACTTCGAAAAATATTGCCAGTGTACAGAGAATCTCGTGTCTTTTGAACCCTATCCCTAATAACAGTCCTCTGGACTATGTTAGTATAGTTACATGTTTTCAAAAATTACGATTCTTATGGTGTCTTGATTTTTAAATTCGAAAGACTGTCAATCATGAAAATTGTAAAAATTAATTGTCCACACAATAATTTTACGACAGGTTTATGCAATCCTGAGAAAAACCAATTTTATATAAATTTTAATTTATGCACAATATTCTTTTTATGGTATTCCCTCAGAAAAATTTCGAATTGCTATTTCTTCCTTTTTTCTTTTTTTTTTAGGAAAGGAAACGTTAATTTATAATAAATTAAATAATTACCTATATGTAATTCGATATTTTGTAAATTCCGTTGCTAGAAATTTTTGGTATTCTAATTTCTTCGATACATTAATCCTAGTTTAGTATTTTCCAGTTAAATTTCTGCAAACATTTCAATTTTATTTTATTCCTTGAACGCCAGTAATTTTAATAAGGATATGTTTTCATTATTTTATAATATATCGTAGAGCGTTATTAGGGTATATCGTAATGAGATTTTCTGCAGGAAGTACACAGCGATTTTTCATGTTGGTAAAAACAAATTTGTACGAAAACAATTTCCACGTCGGTCAGTTTTATCGTTAAAGAGCCGGGACACTTGCACGTTAAACAAACTCTCCTAGCTCGTTGCGTGTTCGCAGCATAATCGAACCGTATAATCTGAAAGTATGTTAGGCTGTGATTTATGCGTTAGATAGCGTTGGAAAAATAGCCTCGTATTAATTGTCCAGCAAGACATCGATCTTAATAGAAATTATATTGTCCACGATCAGATCGACCCCCTTTCTCCACTCAACCTGTCACTCCTCTCCGATCCTCCAATAAAAACCCACCCCTCGACGAGGGTGACTCTTTCGTTACAGCTTTCCCGATTACCCCATTTTATTTACTTTTTAATCGATTACCCTAATTAATTATAACAACTTTTTTTAATATTCATATAAAACAAAATTTTTCATCGCAATCCTCTTATCACTCTATAAGCTTCTTCGATCTAATCCAGCTTTTCGTTAAATAAAACTTTTTAAATTTGAAAAATCGTGTTTGCAGCATAGAACTGAAACAGGAAAATTTTGTTTTATTTTGGAAAAAGCAGCGCATTAATTACGCGAAATTTTTTAATCACATTGCTAAATTAATTCCCACTACGAAATTAATCCTCCTGCAAATCGATGATTAATAAAAATTAGTCGAATCAGGACTAATTGTAAAATTTGTATTCTAGTATTTTGAAGTGGGGGTGTTGTAATTAACTCTCGTTACTATATCTACCCCCTTTGGAACCGGAAGTTAACCCTTTGCACTCGAGAGGTGACCTTCGTAACCATGAAGTGACCATTTCATAAAATTTGGAAGATCGATGTTAATTAATATATCAAATAATTCTACAATTCTGTTATTACACGATTTTTTATTTACTGCTCAAGAGATATCGTCACTTTTTAGTAGGGAGTCTTTGAATTTCTACTTTTTTCCGGTAAAGGGGTAATAAAAGCTACTCGGATCGGGACTAAGAATATTTTTCGAGTATCCAATTTTTCATGTCTCCAATAATGGAACGTCGCCCATTTTTAGACTTCGTCTAAGTACGAGATTGTAGTTCTCGAATATTTTACCCCGATTTGCACTCGCGAGTCGGATGAAGGTATATCCCCGCATTCCGTGGTTTATATTATATTTCCCATGAAAAATTACACCGGTCTGTGCACACAGCGCGCAGTCACGCAGCCGAGGCAAGTCGTACGTCATTTTTGGTAGCAGATTAAAGAAGCGAATGGTCGAAGGAAACTCGACTTCCTTCGAGCCGGTTTCTTGCGCGAGCATAGCGACACGAGAAAGCCGACGAGGACGTAATTACTCCTCCAGTTTGACCGAAGTTGTGCCGCGTTGCTCTTTCCCCATATATCGATTGCTTTTTACCCTTCCGCGTGCGAAGATATTGGGGTAGAATGGCGAGGTAATGAGTACCTTTCAAGACACCGAGCCTCATCTTTTATTCAACCTACGGCAATGTTGTTGCGATGGTATACTTAAACGAGCGTGAGAATGCAATCGTTCAAACGATTTTTTAAATTCCACCGTCATCGCGTCAGTGGAGTCATTACCTTGATTTACTGCGGAAAACGTGTAGGGGAATTTAATCGCGGAGCCCTCGCAGTTTAAGTTCCTTGTGCAATTGCACGGAATTGCGTTGCACTCGTCGACCCCCTAACGCGGTTATTTTTATTAAGGACGAATGATAATTAATTCCAAATAATTTGGAATTTCGTCGTGAAATAAATACGTGGTAATGGATTAATATTAAATATTTCTGGAATGCGTGCGTTGGTATTATAGAATTAATCGTATATGGGGGTTAAATTCGAATCGCTGAATTCCGTGCATTCTTCGAATAATTTGAAATATTTATAACAATTGTCGGGCAAACATAGAAATTGGGAAGTATGAAATTATAGTTAGTTAACTGCAAATCAATAATGAATAATCTCGCGTGTAGATATATTACATATGACTGATAATAATTACCTCAATACGAGACGAAGATAAATAATTTCGTGTGATTATATCTTATACCATATGTAGAAATAATTTTCTGAAAATCGATTATTTCCACATACTGCGAGATGCGAATACCTGCAACCAGTCATTTTGACCGATTGCAGCATGAAAAGAGAAATTGAGACGAGAATTAAGAAAATCTCGCAGAGAACTGCAAAGGGTAATTTAACTCGAGCCCCCCCTTTAGAAGCTTCTCTCTAACCTGTAGTGGAATAAAGGGATGAAATACCGGGTTCATAAAAAAGGAGCTTCAACGTAAAAATTGTATCTGTAAAGAACCAGGAGTAAAGCACTGTAAAAAAGGTTTTCCAATCACCCTTTGCCCGCAACGTTTCCTTCCGCCGTATCCTCAGCGTCGAAGCCATGAAAACGATGAAAAATATAAAAAGAGGGGAAAAAAGGAGACGAGACGGCTGTTCCGACTTCGCGAATCGCTCTCTGGAATCTTCTTCTCGCCCGAAGCGACACTCGCTGCCGTCCAGCCGCGTTTCCTTCTTTTCCGCGACGCTTTTTCCGCCGCCCTTACGCGTCTGCGGCTGCTGTTCTATATTCGAACGAGGGGGGTGGCTCGTTAACAACTCGTCGTTACTAATTAGTACGAGAGGCCGGGATCGATCAGAACCAATTAGGTGCGGCACAGGGTCGGTGTACCTTCTCTGTCGATTGAAATCCGCACTTTGTAGCGACGATTAAGGTACGAGCGGCCTTTGCTCGCGACACCCTCGCAAGCATGCCTCCCGTTCCTGTGTTTCCCGCCTCCCTTCAGCGATTAAGGTGCGGCCTTTGCTCGCGACACCCTCGCAAGCATGCCTCCCGTTCCTGTGTTTCCCGCCTCCCTTCTAGTAGGCCATGCTGAGATTCCTTTATGAGGGGCGCGGGTGGAGAGTCGAAGAGGGTGCTTGAAAGATTTCTTTTCGATTTAGGTGGTTCCTGAGAGTTTTGAGGAATTCTTTGGAAATTTTTGGGGAATTTTGGGGAAATTCTTTGGGAACTTTTAGGGAATTTTGTGGGAATTTGGGGGAATTCTCCAGGAATTTTGGGGAAATTCTTTGGGAACTTTCAGGGAGTATTTTGGGAATTTGGGGGAATTCTTTGGGAATTTTTTAATAATTGTTGAAAAATTTTTTGAAATTCTTTGGAAATTTTCAGGGAATTCTTTTGAAATTTGGGGGAAATTCTTTGGGAATTTCTTAATAATTCTTGGAGAGTTTTTGGCAATTTTGGGGAATTTTGGGGGAATTCTTTGGGAATTTTGGGTAAATTCCTTGGAAATTTTTTAATAATTGTTGAAGAATTTTTGAAAATTCTTTGGGAATTTTGGGGGAATGCTGTAGGAATTTTGGGAGAATTCTTGTATAATTTTTGGGGAATGCTCTGGAAATTTTTCAGGAATTAAGGGTGTTTTGCTGTTTTAAAGCTTCTGCCATTTTTGTACATATTTTTCTTCCCAGTGAAAAGTTTTACAGCGTATATAACTTAAATACACGACTTTGGGGTGCTTCGAATTTTTGAAAAATGAATGGGCGTTTTATATGCTTCGATACTTCTGCTATTTCTGGCATTTTCATGCACCCTAGTTTATGTAGTTCTAATTTATAGCGTGTACTCGAAGGAGCGTTTGAGATTCTAGCCGGATCAAATTGATTAATGAATGTTTCGCTACGAGAATGTTATCTTTCACTCTTGCGCATAAATTACTTTCCACTCCCAACTAAATATCGATTGTCTTCTGTTACAGATTGAAAGTCAATCAATAGCGTGATCAGCCTGTCATCTTCAGAAGATCCTCGAGCAAATATTCCAGTTCTAAAATAAGGTAAATATCAACCTAGATTTATCTAATTTCTTCGGTAAACACACCTATCTCACAAACCTATTGCCCTTACCCTCTCCAGCAAAATTATTACACCACAATTTCCAATTCAAATTCAAAACTTCTATCGACCATACAGAATCAAATTATCCAAGATCGTTGTACATAGAAAGAACTTAAATCGTGAGCAAATATTTCCATTAAATTAAATTTTGAAATAACAACAATCAGAATTAAATCGTGCGAATACCAACGAAAATATTTAACAAAATTTTTGGAAAATTGGAAATATCGCGGTACGCTATGAACTTTATAAAACGATTAGTATTCCCAAACCGCATCGGCTGTACAAGTAGGTAGGAAAAGTTAGAACGACGATATTTCATAAAGTTGCGGGGGGATAGCGTGGTTTACAGACACTCGGCGCGAAAATGCTGGATCACCGGCCGATATGTGTTCGCATAAGTCACGGTGAAACACCGTAAGAAGCAGGGTTGCTGCGCGATAAGCTCGGGCCCCCGCTTCAATTTCTCCTTCCGCCGGTATCGAACTTCGTCGATGAATAACTCGAAACGTGGCCGCGTTCCTTGCGAAAATCAATTCCGTTCCCCGTCGTAAAATCGCGAGATCGCGAGAATTCGGGGTTGGTTAATCGCCGACTATGATCGCATAATTCGGCATAATTGAACGCTCATAGGGATCGAGGTAATTATTTTCCTACGTAAGTTACGAATTATCGTCGAGTTGAATAGACAGCTGTTGAGATATATCGGTACTTGATGAAGCTAATGCCAGTGTTGACAATATAATGGGCCACATTGTTGGGCGCCACAATGATGCTGTCTGTGCGCTAGATTTGTGGCTGTTTGATAAAATCGTGCCCAGTATGCGGATTATACGGCCCTGCACGCGAATTGAAGACGATCTCTGGTGGTTTTATTGCAAATCATCTCGATGAGCAATGATTTGCCATGGATTTATTACGGTGGGTTTTGATGGAATGGAATTTTTATGAAAATTGTGAAATGTAATAGTCTGTCAAACTGTAGGGAATAGATCAATTACATTACACGGAAATTATGACAATTCAAGTCGAATGATGAGTGTAAATAAGTATTGTATAGTCAGGTTTTTATTGGTATAAAAGTTAACCCTTTCACCCCTGAGTTACGAAGAGAATAGCAAAAGCCTTGTCTTGAATTAATTTAAAAAATTGAACAAAATTTCTCTCTTATTCTAAGAAATGACAGGACACGTTAAAACAGTTGGATTGCGTTCAGAAAGAATTTTCTAAGCTCTAAGAGCTTTGAAATCTATGGACGTTTCATCACGTCCACAATTCGTTAGTCATTTTATAGCGTGACGTCATACAAGGTTTGCAGCAGTGAAAGGTTAATGTTAATAGTTGAAGTATTAGAATGTATGTCAATATTAACAAATAAGGGATGTAGTGAAACTGAAAAACGTTTCTGCAAGAGAAACTGCATATCTTCAGCAATTGCGAAGATGTAATAGCTAGAACTAGTTATTTTGACTCCTTTCGTGGTTTTAATGTTAATACTGTCAATGTTGACAATGTTAATAATGTTAATACCGTCAATGTTGATAATATTAATAATGTTAATACTGTCAATGTTGACAATGTTAATAATGTTAATACTGTCAATGTTGATAATGTTAATAATGTTAATACTGTCAATGTTGATAATGTTAATAATGTTAATACTGTCAATGTTGACCATGTTAATAATGTTAATACTGTCAATGTTGATAATGTTAATACTGTAAATGTTGACAATGTTAATAATGTTAGTACTTCCAATGTTAATAATGTTAATACTGTCAATGTTGATAATGTTAATACTGTAAATGTTGACAATGTTAATAATGTTAGTACTGCCAATGTTAATAATGTTAATAATGTCAATGTTAATTCAATGTCAATCAAGAAGTTTCTCAATTCCACCGAATCTAGAAAATCCGAAGATAGACAATTTTCTAAAGAACCCAGGAATTTCACCTAGATACCACTAAAAAATTCCACTCTCGTCTCACACAAGATCTTAACCCTAGTGTGCACGATATATCCACACGAGCCCCTATTATCTGCATAATTACTGCCCCGGATAAATTCAGTCATAGTCTCGAATATCCTCAAGCGTAATCGTAACCCTATCTCTAATGGCCTCGGAAAAAAGCAACCTATCTGATGCGGAGAGGGTTGCAAACTTGCCGCAGGAATTTCCACGTGCATATACTCGCTTACATCCGCGTATCGCCGTAAACACGATGAGGTATCGACACGGGGTAGCAAAAATGGCGCGTGCCGGTCGTACGCGGGGCCCTTAGCCGGCGCAGCCTCTGAGGGATGCAAATTCAGGGTGCAAGAGCGCGCCTCGGGGATAGAGAGGACGCGTAATCCGCACACACTCGACCGATATGCAAATCTTGGAAGGCACTTCATAAACAGCTACATCACTTAAGCATTGTACGCCCGCGTCCGCCTATCGGGGATAATCTTGCCGTGCCATTTCGCGAAACAATATGATTACATTTGCATAGCGACCAGCAGAGGCAGAGGCAGTGGCAGGGCTGGTCCAGGCTGATCTTCCGTATCCGTTCTCTTACGGCCAGCAGCTATCGATTGCGTCGCGTTGCGCGCGGTTCCACGCGTAAACACCTGGCGATCGTTCCAAGGGATGCAGTCGATTGCTCGCTGCGTACTCTCGGGTCAAGCCTAGTCTAACGAAACTTGCCGGATTTCGTTGATTGCCCCGCAAGTTTTCTGCTCTGTCGGGGAGTGCTCGAGGTGGCGAGAGAATTCGTTGGATAGCGGAAACCGAGAGCGAGTTAACGCGTTAAACGCCACGTCGGACCCTAGGGACCAGCGTTAGATTTGCCATTCAGGCCTCGCCGGTCCGTACGGCCCGGAAGGGCCCACATGACGGCTAACTGTGGCGTGAACGGAATAACACGTAAACTCGACATGACGTTTAACGCGTTAAGTAACGAATCGGTACGATTCGAGCGCGTTCTTCGAGCCTGTGCTGCACTCATTTTAGAGAGTTAACACTTTGACTGCAATGCAATTTACATATAGTACCCTTAGGGGCCCAATAAAAATAATTAATAAAATAAATAATAAATAATAATTAAAAATAAATAAAATTTCTATTATCCTTATGATATAATAATGAATTATCAAACAATATGTCTCCCTCCCCCCATAAAAAAAGAAAATGGTGAAAATTGTTAACTCTTTGCAGACGATGGTCGTATATATGTGTTCGACGGAGACCATTAAATTTTCCGAGGAACTCATATATGCATCCGACGAAAACAACTGATAGGGTCGAGGGTTTCATAAATGTGACCCACGTAAACGCGTTGCTATGGCTCAGAAACACATATGTGCCCGTTGTTGCGGCCCCAGGACCACGCGTCCCAAGTTAAGTCGATGGATCGTTTTGTATTCTTATTGCCAGTGTCGCTATGAACGAAAATCGCGTTTAAGCAGAAATGAACGCTGGTAGTTTTGAATGACTATCGCAGCAGCGAATCGGGCCCACTTTACGCAAAACCGCTCCGTCCACAAAGGATTAAACGGTTTATTAGTTTTATATAATTATCTTTTGGACGCCTATCAAAACACTTATTAAAATCTTTTCTATCATAAGTCCTCTTATCCATCAATATTATTCCAGATTTCTTCTCATTCCTTCTTCTTCTGTTCTAAGTTCTCCATTTATTTAATTTTTGTTAAATTTTAAAAGTTTTAAAATTTGTAAAAAGTTGTTCAAATTTTCAGAAAATGATTAGAATCAAATAATTATAAATTTAAAAAATTAGTATCACCAGAGACTGGTGACCACTATAGCACCGCTGAGGAGACAAGCGCCGGTCACTCGTGACCACAATGGCAGTCAACGTGTTAAATGTTTGGTGAAAATGTGTTCTCGGTGTTGTTTTATGCCTCGATTATCAGCTTCGCGCGATGCTTCTCCATTCGTTTAATCTCCGGGGACCTGTTCGTCTATCGTTGAGGATAAGAGATGGTTTGCGCAGGGTTTACTCGCGGTGTCCTGGGTGGAGCACGATGTTTGCGTTGGATGATTAGTTGTTTAGTCCCGTCATTCATTACGCGGTGGCTAAACATTTATCATGCCCTATGAAACGGGAACGGCGCTTTCAACTTCATTAAAATTCAGCCGGTGGATAAACATCGTTGTAATTCTTCCTAATCTTTGCCTCATCTGGGGGTAGTCTTCGCGGATTAACTCACGGGGCTTCTGAACTACCTGCTTGCCTGCGAACTTCTGTTATATTTCCCTTTAAACCGAGCCTTCAGCTGTCTATACCTAGGGAGAGGAGATATCGCGAATACCTTTGCTAGTATTCAGAAGTATTATGCGATGAAACGATGTTACCGTCAGGTCACTGTACACTACGCCATTTTGGACTGGATATAAAAATTTACGACAAAATTGTATAGATCCGTGTATCGAAGTTTCTGAAGGGCTCTGCCAAAATTGGTTTAAGGCTCTTCAACTTTCCTTAGGAATCTCTGACTCGGTTTCTTCAGGACATTGATATGCGTCGATTAATCCAAACATGGTGATCTCTGACTACGTGGAGATTTGAAACGTTTCCAGCTAGCAATATTCATGAGTGTGACTACAAATAGAAACGATCGGTCAAATATGTCTTCATTTTGCGAATTTTCACTCTGACTACTTTGAGAGGTTCATCGTGTTCGATGGCCAGTCACCAATCGCGACAGGGGTACGTGTCAAGGATCACGGTTCTAGAAATATCAGAACCATAGGGAGCGTTCCACGACGCGTGCCCCCCTGCGAAGATAATAGAAGATCCGGCGCTCAAATATAGAGTGAGCTCCGATCGCCTTCCAAACAAATATAGTTCTCGGATTTCCAAGTATCTACTGAACTTTTTACCAACGTAGCTTGCTGTGGACTTCAAAAATATTTCCAAAATTGGAAAAT